TTTTTTAAAAAAATATATGTATATATTTGGATACCAAGAGGTTTTTGTTTGTTTGTTTCCTGAGACAGGGTGTTGCTATGCAGCTCAGGCTGGCCTTGAACTCACTTTGTAGCCTAAGCTGGTATCAAACTTAACAATAATTCTCCTACCTCAGCCTTCCAAGTGCTGGGATTACAAGGCGTGCCACCACACCTGAAGATATCGAGAGTTTTTTTTTTTTTAGAACTGGGGATGGAATTCAGGCCCTTGTGCTTGCCAGACAAGCACTTATTCTACTGAGCTAACTCCCTGGCCCACCAAGAGTTTTATAGTTTCTAACCTTATAAAAAAAGCATCAACTCTTCACATCCCAATGAACAGAAAAATAGTTCTGCTTAAGCACGATGTCTAGAAAATGAAGTCTTTACAGGCTATATATTATAGTCTTTGACATCAAAATGAAGGTATCAGGGTCAGCGAGATAGCTCAGCGGACTAAGGGCCAGCTTATGCAAGCACAGGGATGAGGGCTCGATCCCTAGCACCACATGCCATGCTGGCCCCGCCCCTGGGTGTGCTGAATTGGCCACTGAGACTGAGCCTGTTGGTATATGCCTAGAATCCCAGCACTGGTGAGGTTGAAACAGGAGGATCACTACAAGTCAGAGCTGTGTAGTGAGACCCTGTACCAAATACATAAAAAAAAAAAAAAAAAAAAAAAAAAAAAAAAGAAGGTATCGATAACCTTCCCTCAAAAAAGATTAGTGGGGTCTTGGGATGTAGCCCAGAAGCAAAGTACAAGCTCAGCATTCTCAGGACTTGGATTCAATCCTCAGCACCAAAAAATCTCCTTAAAACAAAGTGATACACAAACCAACAAACATTAGGATGGATCAGCAAACAGACAAGTGTGATAGAAGAATTCATTTGGGACTAAGTAGAATTTTAAGCTGGTTTAAACACTAACTGGCTATTTGAGTTTCTAAGAGTCACTAGTCTTCTCGGGTTTCCTCAACCGATAATAAAATGGATTACACTAGATAACTTCAATTTCTCTTCTAACTAGAATATTAAAAAGAAAACAGTTGTGGGAATCTTAAAAAAACAGTATGGAATACTTCAGAAAGGACTATTTCAGTTTCATTGTTTTGTTTTTCTTTTGATTGGGAAGGACTATTTCAATGTGTTTCATCCAAACACCTTTCTGGACCTGAAAACCAAATTAATTATCTTATTCCTTTAGCACAGTTCTTAGTATAAAATAAATACTTGACAATTGTTTGAGGAAAGAGGGAAGGAAAGAAGGATATAAGCTACACAAAGGTGGTAAGAGGAGGACATCTAGATATTATTTTAGAATTACCTCAGACTATTTCATTCTTCAACCCTCTCAAAATAATTACCTGATGTTGGCTGGAATCTGGCTGGGGCTGACCCTCCCACTGGCTTGGACGTTGCTTTAGCAGGTGCAGCAGGCTTAGCTGGCATATTAGCTTTGGCTTTCTCTAGCATGGCCAGTACTTGATCTTTAGAAGTTGGCTAGAGAGGCAATGTAACAGAAGAGGGAGGTGATGCTGATGCTGCATTCATACTAAGCTTGCATTTTTTCAAACACATCATTGAACTCTTCGTCTTAAAATAATAGCAAAATGAAGGAAGCAGCACACAATACAAGAGAACTAGCACACACTATGAAGTCACCCTGAAGTAGCTATCATTCTAGAAGGTCAAAGTTCTCACCCCAAGGAGTCAGCAGACTTACAGAAGTTCTACAATGGTAAGTGTTTTATTTTTGGTCTTGTTAGGTTAATGAGGTTTGAGATTTCAAATTGAGGTTTACTGGAGATAAGATATCTTTTATTTATATAAAGTCATGTTCAATTTTTAAATGGTTTTTAACAGCAGTAGCAGCAACAAGAAGTGGTACCTTTAGTTTCCCAGTAGCCTTGGCCATCTTTTCATATCCTAAATGCATCATAAAGAATGGCAGAGCGTCTTGGGCTTTCTTTCGCACATCTCCGTTGCGATCTTCTAGGCAGGAGTAGAGATGAGGAACACAGAGAATTAGGTCTGCAGGGGTGGAACGAAGAGTAGGTAGTTTCTCAGCCAGCCAGCCCAGCAGCTGCCAAAGGAAACAGAGACTGGTCATATAGTTCAAGTAGAAATTTGTTATTTGTGATCTGGGCATTCAATTATAAAACTCTAATAGTTCTAAACTCAGTTATTTAACTAAAAACCTGAAACATTTACTCAGATGACAAATTCTACCAAGACTTTTTTTTTTTTTTTTTTTTTTTTTCCTTCGGTAGTGGGGATTGAACTCAGGATCTTGCGCTTGCGAGGCAAGTGCTTATTCTACTGAGCTATCTCCCCAGCCCTTCTCCCAAGACTTTTATGCCCACACTGAGTTAGCCTATACCTCTGAAATAATTCTCATCTGTATTTACTTCTTCATTGAAAGTTTTATTAATTTTAATCCACCTGCAATTATAATATAGAAAGATCCCAGGAATCTTTACTCAATTTCCTTCATAAATAACACTTTAAAAGCTATACTAGGGGCCTGGGAGATGGCTCAGTGGAATAAGTGCTTCCCTGGCAAGCGCAAGGGTCTGAGTTCAATTCCTGGTTCTGCGAAAAAAAAAAAAAAAAAAGCTATACTGCAGTATTGCTAACAGCATACTGAAATTGGTATAATCAAGTTAATTTGTTCATATTTCCTCAATTTACTTGTACTTGTTTGTACATATATCAGACTGATCTTAGCCAAGATCCCATTTGTGGATTCTTTGTATAATTTCCAGGGGGATCAGCATTGTATTCAAGAAGTCTGCCTATATCTTCAAGAGCTCTACCTATTGTATCTTCCAATAGATTAAGGGGTTTCTGTTTTAGT